CTGCCCCACCCTTTCCCCTCTGCTTCTTTCCCTGCTCCAGCCCCTCTGACCCAGGCTCCTGCCTCACTCTGTCCCACCTGTGGCTACCTGCTCTCTGCCCCCATGGGCCTGGCACCTGCCCCACTGCTCATATTCTGGACACCATCACCTGTCCTTCCCTTGGCTCCCCTCTGCCCCATTAGAGCTCCCCCATTGCCTCTCACCTTTCTGCCCCCTGGTGCCTGCCTCTTCCCTGGCTCCCTCTGCCCATGGGGTCTGTCCCATTCTCCCTGGTGCCTGCTGCTGCCCTCACGCCTTCAGCCTCTTTACCTCACCCCCCTGCCCTCATGGAGACAACTACTCTTGTCCCCCATTGTACTTCTGCCTTTACTTCCCCTCTTCCTTCCACCCCCTTTGCCCCATCACCTGCCTCTCCCCTGCTTTCCACCTCCTCTGCCCCCTCTGCTCTCCCAGCACCAGCCTGACCCCTCCCCTCCTCTCACCCACTGTCTCATTCCCAACACCTGCCCCACCCCTCCGGCCCTTCCCTTGCTCACAGGCAGATCAGGCAACAGCCACTCCCTCCCACCCCAGCACACACACAGTGATTAATTTCTCTCTGACCCCAGTGACTAGTCCCTGCCTCTCTCTTCCCAGCGACTGTGACTCTGGATCCAGACACGGCTCATCCCAACCTCATCCTGTCTGAGGGTCGGAAACGTGTGAGATACGGAAACACGCGCCAGGCTCTGCCCGACACCCCTCAGAGATTTGACACTTGTGCCTGTGTCCTGGGCACCGAGGGGTTCGCGGGCGGGAGGCGTTACTGGGAGGTGGAGGTGGGGGACAAGACTGAGTGGTACCTGGGGGTTTGCAGGGAATCTGCGAGCAGGAAGGCATCGTTCAGAACCACACCCAGTGATGGATACTGGGCCGTGTGGCTGAGTTATGGCAAATATCAGGCCTGCACCTCTCCTTTGACCCCCCTCCCTGTGAGCGCCAGGCCCAGCCGGGTGGGGGTTTTCCTGGACTATGAGGCGGGCGAGGTCTCGTTTTACAATGTGACTGACAGGTCCCATCTCTTCACCTTCACCGACACCTTCTCTGAGATGATCCGCCCTTATTTCCGCACTGGTTACGATGCGGCTCCTCTCACCATCTGCCTGGTCCTGGCACAAACCGGAGGGACTGGCAGTACCACGAGCTGAATCTCTCACCTCCAGCTGCCCTGGGTCGCGTTACCACAGAGCTGCACCATGAGACACTTGCCCATTGACTCCTCTTTATCTTCCTGTTGGGGTAGATCACCGGGGGTGGTGGCAGAGCAGCCTGTACTCAATTTTTAGGGGGGGGAGCATCACACAAAACCCACTAAATCCACTGCTGGGGGTTGTTCTCAGAGCATGGGACCAGGCTGTTGTGTAGATGGAAACAGCGACCCTCTCAGCACAGACTGTCCCCTTTCAGCAACCAACCCTAATTGTGTTCCATGGGGATGATACAAAGAACATCAACTGCCTGCCCCCAACCCTAATTTCCTCGAACGAGGCGTACAGATAGTTCGGAATGGCTAAGTAGTTCGAACTATCTAGCCCGTACCGCATGTAGCCACGCGGCACGGGGTTCGCACTAGCCGGCTTTTAAAAATGGCGGCGCCGGCTTTATGCTAATGAAGCCCGGGAAATTCAAATCCCGGGCTTCATTAGCAAGTTCGGTATGCATACATTACCCCGCTAGTTCGAACTAGCGGGGTAGTGTAGACATACCCATAGGTTGTTTTGTTCTGCCCTGTCACAAGTTTTCTTCCTGTTTCCTTCCCTCACCCACTGGTTCAGGGCAGCGAAAGGTAACAAACAGGGATCCCTCCTGTCAAAATGTTCTACCCCCGAGAGATCTCAGTGTAACGCACAGAGAGAAATACCAATGTTCTAGTCTACAAAACAGTGTTGGCCCGAGGTGCACATACACAACCTGTCACCGCTGGGATTGCTTGTTGTAAACTGGATGCAATATGAACATGTTCAATTCAGCTCTGAAGATTGTGACAATAGGCCATTTCTCATAGAGTGTCCTGTACGTACCTTGGTTATTGAGAGCACCAAGAAAATACAATGTCTAAAAGAAATAGAACCAGCATTCCAGATGGCAGTGGGTGAAACCCAGAGCAGGTTTCACCCATTGCCATCTGGAATGCTCTGTAGTAGTAGCAATTGTTCTATTTTCTCAAGTGAGTTACTAGGTACTGAATAACAAAGTATAAGGAGAGACACATAACACAGTATTGGTAGGACTACTTGCTGTTTTGTTTTCCATTTGATGCATGGGAGGGGTGCTTCCCTTTTCTACACATCACAGCCATTCACTTAAGTACATTTCCTGCAAGGGTTAGACAGTGGGTCCTTGAGAGTCTCCAGGAAATGTTGGTAAGGAGTCAATGAAAACAGAGTATCATTTTTTTGAATGGGAAGCAGTGATCTGACGGCAGTCTCTGTGGCAGTCTACAGATATGAATTAAGCCAGACAGCTTAATGGAATATTCATCAACATCCATGCCCAGGAAAAGACTAAACCTTGGAACAACAGATATGTGAATAGAACAGGGAATATTTAGTTAGACACGAGCTGGCGATTGTTTTTATTATCAGTGTGTTGCACTCCTCTGTGCTGAGCCCACATACTACCACACCTCCCGCAAGGCAATGTAACTTTAAAACTGAATCCTAGGGAAGCAATGCTCTGAGTTTTTAATCTCCCTTGTTTTCAGTTGCTCTTTAATACCTAACCACAAAGTATGTTTTACCAAGTGTATTTTCTTTGTTTTGTTAATAAAATCACTGTTTAAATCTATGATCTGATTCCTGTGGCCTAGAAGGCAGGAGGCTCTGTGTGCTTGGGCCTGAGACTGAAAGATTGGCTATTAAGATATTACAGTTTGATTTCAAGCTTTCTCCTGAGCAAGGGCTAAAGAGCTTGAGGATATCCCACAAGTGAAAATTCCCAAGTGCATCTTCCTGAGATCTGAAAATATTTTTGTATTTGGTTGGTGGCCGCAATGCCAAACCACGCTCAGGGAATCTGTGACCTTGGGGAGTTTTTAAGCAGAAGCTTTTAGTGTCAGGATATTTAAAAATCTCTTGCCCCCAACTCAAAGTGCCAGAAAGGGAAACAGCCTTAAGAAGTGTGAACGTTTACAGAGCAATAATTGAACTTGGGAGATTTATTCAGAATACATAGTGATGGGAATGTCCCGGCCTTTCCTGCCCTGGGGGAGCCTCTGCTCATGGTGGGGCGGGGAAAGGCCATGGCTGGGACAGGAGTGAGAGTGCCGAGGACTTGCTGTAGGTCTTCTCTGCCTTGCAAACTTAGCTATGAAGAGGGAGCTGCTCCCTGAGCAATGGAGAGAGGGGTGAGCTGCTGCAGGTCAGCTGACTGAAATCTGTCAGGCTATGTCTGGAGTGCAGGCTTCTTTTGGAGGAAGCTTTTCTAGAAGAGATCTTCCA